TCCCCTAGGTACACCTAGAAGTGAAAACACTATAAATGAGACCCACCCCAGTTAATCATGGGTGAACAATGATGGGTGGTTGGACCACCCAAGGGACTCGCCCATAACCCAGAAGTGGGACATACTTCACATTGGATCAACAATCGTTAAACACAAAACAACTAAAGTAAGTCCCAGTTCACCCACTGATTCTCACACCCCAATTTAGCCAACACTCAACTAAGTCCACTCTGGCCCAAGATACCAGAAATGTGTCTTGCTGAGACAGTGGCCAGCTCTGACCTTGGGGTTCTGAGATAGACCTGGAAAGCATTGCTCGACCATTGACCCATTGATTTGATGGTGGAGTCTTCCACACCAGCTACAGCAGCCATGTTGGCCACCCTAATTTGAAAACTATGCCCGGAGTAGGAAGACGGGTCTAGCCCGCAAGTGAGCAGGAGCTCCCAAAGGGTAGCAACAAGCACAGACTTTGTGAATAGGAAACCATCAGCAGCCAGGAAAGAAGGTCCCTCCTGGGATCCCTGCAGGGCCATATAGGACAGCACAGCTGCCACAGGGGAGTTGACTCTGCCCAGGAAAACATTAACCCCCGCCACTCTGGTCGCATTTAAATACTCTCAGTCTGACACGCAGCAGGGAAGGAGCTGATATATTATCGACACAAACATCTGCCCATGATAGATGGCTGGCCGAGACATATCCTCTAACAGAAGGGGCCAAAAGTTTCCCCAGCCGAAAAAACCCAAAGAAAGCCATGCTGCAGACTGGCCACAACAGGGTCCGCTCAAATAAGTGAAGGTGTTGGAGAGCAAGGAGAATAGGCGAGCCAATACGTCCCCAGTAATAGGCAGCTTCGGTTTGGAGGTAGGGCGTTGGTCCAAGACCTGGCTCCTGCCCACACCGTTCAGGACGAGTCTCAGGCGAGGCAGAGATAAAGTCTCTCGAAGTTCGGGAAAACCCCTTAGCACCTGAGCATGGCGGAGTGCTGCCAGATAGGACCGAATCGAGGAGGGGGCCAGGCCCTCAAAAGCGAGAAATGAAACAAAGTAGCAGAGGGGATGCTCCGATAGCGAAAAGGGACTGCTATCTCATACCTGGTGCAGAAGGTGTTGAAACGATGGACAGCTGATTTATACGTTTTATGAGTTGAAGAGGCAATTCCTAGGGAACAATAATGTTGTACAGCTCCATCAAGCTCCCGGAAGCCCAGTCCAATTGGGATTGAACAGGAGGTCCTGAGCCATAAGGGGGAGTCGTGATGGGTGTGGCATCATCTTGGGTGCCTGTGTAAAGAAAGAGGAGAGTTTGTTATGGGACAGGTCATCAGCAAGTACATTATCCCTCCCCACAATATAAGTGGCCGAGATCTGCAGCTGCAGACGGGCCTCGAACAGAAATAGACAACACAGCAGGTGTGGATGACGTATATCCCTTGAGTTGACAACAGCCACCACTGCCTGGTTGTCACAGTAACAGAGAAAATGTCCCTCCCTAAAGAAAGGGCCCAGATTACAATAGCCAGGATGATCGGAATCAGTTCCTTCACTGCAACATCTGCCTGATACATTGAGGCAGGCCAAAGGAGCTGAAACCACCAGGGACTAGTGTGTGCCCCACAGCCCCTGGAGCCAGAGGCATCTGATGACTGTCTCCCAAAGGGGTTGGAGAAATACAACCCCGTTCCAATTGTGCATCAAAAACTGCCACCACTGCAAGTCTGCCTTAAAGCCCCGGTTCAACCTGATGTGATGCCATGGGCAGCGGCCACACTTAAGGTAGCCTGAGAGTCGGCGTAGAAAGGCCCTGCCTGGTGGAATGACTTTTGTCGCACTCTGAAGAGTGCCAACCAGGGACTCCAACTCCCGCCGCCAGCACCACTATCTGCCAGCCCACTCTACCAGGTTATCATGGATCCTCTCCACCTTCTCCTGCCAAATGCAGAGCTCCCCTTTCACAGAGTCCACTTCAAAGCTAAGAAAAACAAGACAGGTGGAGGGACTGGCACATTTTTCCTCGGCCAAGGGGACACCAAGCCGGGCTGCGACTCTTCTTATTATTGCCAGATTGGTAGCACACTGGTCAGATCCAGTGGGGCCAACTGTAATGTAATCATCCAAGTAATGGTCAATAAAGGAGACACCCTCATGCCGGCAGCACCAATCAATCGCATCAGCGACTGCATTAAAGATCTTTGGCACTGAGCAGAGCCCAAAGGGGCTTCGGCACTGAGCAGAGCCCAAAGGGGCTTCGGCACTGAGCAGAGCCCAAAGGAGAGGGCACAGTCTACCAGGAGGGACCCCTGCCATCAGCAGCCCAACAGGTGTCTATCCTGTGGATGGATAGCCAGCAGCCGATAAGCTGACTTTATGTCAATCTTAGCCATCAAGGCTCCCTGCCCAAAGGCACCTCTATGAGACAGTCAACAGAAGTATAGCACATGGAACATAAATCAGAATTGATCCCATCATTCACAGATGCCCCTCCAGGAAGGAGAGGTCAGTGATCAAGAGCCATCTTCCCGCTGTGTTGTCCTTGGGACCACACCAATACGGCTAACCTGGACCCTAGTCCCACCCAAGAGCACTGGTGCAGCCAGCTGGACTAGTTGACCGTCCTGTAGCTCCTTGTCTGGGTACTCCGACACCACCTCCAGGTGCTCATAGGCAAGGGAGAGATTCCTGGTCACTGGCTCAAGGGTACATGCTCGGTTAAACCCAATTCTAAAGTCCTCATTAATCCCGTGGAGCACATACCTTGCCGGCCACTTGTCAGGCATCACCTGCAAGTACTGACGCCAAGCTGGGAGGAAGGGTTTAAGAGCTTAGTAACTGGGACCAGATAACTCCACTGGTACTCCTTGACTCCCTTCTCAGTAACTGTCAATTCCCAGGAGATCCTCCATGACACTGTGCGAGCCTAGGAGACATGGACACTGTGATCACAGGCACATCGCACATGCAATCAACCATACACTCTCTTCAATTAAATTTATTAACTTAAATAATGAGCAAAAGCAAAGAATCAATGATAATGGATGCAAAAAACATGCTACATGAACAATAATACAATGGGGCCAGCAGTTAATGAGTAGCCGGCAAGTAACAATTAGTGTGGCCGGCCAAGAGCTTGCAGCTTTTGGAGACTGTGGAGCTCCCTGCCTACGTCGCTGATGGCAGGCTGAAGCTGGGTGACCACCTTTACGGCAAAGGGAGCATATGTGGGCAAACTGGCAATCCTGGAACCTGCAGGAGTTCCCATTCAGACTGTTGAGCAGGCCGCACAATGGGACTCCTGAGGCAGGCGGTGCATCTCGGCGAGGAGGGTGGGACCATTTTTACGTTGGAAGCAATGGGCATAACTTTGTTGGGTGAGAGTCCTTTAGGCAGTGGGCACAGCAGGCCTTAATGCAGGCCCTCCCGGTAAAGGCTTCATTTGGCTCGATTACCCCCCCCCCCAATCGAAGGAGCAACGAGTTTGCTGCTAGTCGGTGAAAAGCAGGATCACAGGATACCCAGGAGTTCCCCTCAAACTTCTTGCTCACTCTGACCATCGTCCTAAGATACTAGAACAACTGGATGGCCTTCTCAGGATAGCGGGAGCAGATTACACCTGCCATGAGTGTAAAATACTCCACCCAGATGGTGATGTCAGTGATGGGAGGGTGCCAAGGGGGGAGCGTATATTAGAGCCTGGAAGCTGTGACTCCTCCCACCTCCAATAATTGGGAAGGAGTTCTGCCATGTCAACGAACTGGCCCTTTAAGACCACCTTCTGTGGAACCACAAGGCGTGGAATAGCCGGGGATATCTGGACCGACACCGGGAGGGGGTTGTAAAGTAAGCCCTGCAAACGATGCCCCCACAGCTGGGGGTTGACCTTAAAAGGTGTGTGCATGGGTAAGAGAGATTGGGTGTGGCATTGTCCCCAAAGCACATAAGGTAATCGGGTAAATGCTGAATAAATAAATTAACAAAATAATATCAAATAAAGTTGGAAATTGCATAGAGCCAGCCAGCAGTAATGGGGTCACTGCTGAATGAATAAATCAACATAAAACAAAATAAAATTGGAAATTGTGTAGAGCCAGCCAGTGGTAATCAAGTAACTGCTGAATAAATAAATAAACATAAAATAAAATAATTGCATAGAGCCTGCCAGTGGTAATTAGGTGATTGCTGATGTGTGCATTAGGCCAGCGAGCAAACAATGCACCCCATCCTCTCACAAATGTGCCAGCCATAAAAGGTGGGGGGAGGGCCAGCAAAGCCAGACTACATTTGTAACTAAGCAAGCTAACAACACGGGAGACACCAGAGGGGAAAGCCTCAGGCTGGCGGGCCCACCCGCGCCACACCTTCAGCTTTTTCACATGCTAGCTTACAGTCAACATGAACTATAATTTCTGTACTAACTCACCCTCAGGACGGGTTGCCTCTCGGCGTCAGCGCCCAGCACCTTGGAAGACACTCCTAGTCCTGTGGGCTCTCAGTAACCTCGACCTACCTCTCGGTTCGCATCCCACCAAGTAAGTCAAGTAGCGCAACTGTTCTTCAGAGAACGGCGGCAGATTCTTACTTGTCGTCATCGCAGCAGCTTCAGAAACGACCACCGAGACAAGAACACTGCTTCCACTTCAGGTAAAGAATAAATTGGATATGACAGAAGACAAGATGATCCTAGCAACCCTCCAGCCTGATACAGCAATACTATGCATGCGCAGCCCAAGCCCATCCTTCCCCGTTAGCCTTATTTAAACAGGGTTTAAATTACCATAAAATAAATGCACTATAAAGTAGCATGTGTGTATAACCATGTGAGAGCAAGTTCAGGATGTGCCTGTGATGTAGTCATGTGTACGTAAGCATTCCAAAATTATTATTGCATTTTGTGTTTTAGTTTTAAAGCATATGCATTGATTGCACACAAGTACTAAAGATTTTGCATGACATTACACATGACACTTGCATCAATATTATATGTATTTCCTTGTACTGTAGTTATTGTTCCTAAAAGATCGAAAACTCTTCTCTTATCTTACTGCAGGACTTCTCCGAGTGATTAAAGGTGTGTGTATTTATACTTTTTTCATCTATGATTGCATGGACAAATAATTTGTTCTCTAGATATTGTAGTATTGTCATTTTCTGAACATGGTAATGTACAGTTTCCTCCTGTTAGTCTTTTCACATTTCATCAGGTTTGAAGTTCCTTTGCATTAATGTGTTTTAGTTCATTTTTCAGAAAAATTTCTCTTCAGACCTTCAAGCTGGCATATTGCAGTTAAAATCAAACGTAGAAATTAATGTTATCTTGTTATCACTTCTGTATGTTGGTAACTCTGCATGTATTTTGCACTTGTACTTACATACAAACTCTAACATAATGTGTTTATCTAACTGGCCCTTTTTATATAAGCAAGGTCTTGCTTGTATTAATTATTATTGCGCAGTTCAAACTAATATGACATTGTTAGCGCATCATATAAGTTTTCATAGAATTACTATTATATGTCTTAGTCAAAATTTTGATTTCATTGTAGCAGCAATTTTTTAAATCCCCTTATTATCAAGTTGTACCACCAAATATTACATTGTTTTACAGTGTACTTCATGGGTATATCAAAGGCAATGCCTCTTTAATTTTTCCACATATTACAACAGTTAATTAGCACCAGAAGTAAGTGTAAGTTGTTTGTTTTGCAATGGCTGGCAGAAATGCGTGACCAGGGAAGAAGAGAAACTGCTCTGCATGTTACAGAACAGGCTGGCAATACTCCTTTACCACCATTATTGCCTTTTTGCTGTCTTTTTGTAGCCCAATTAATTAAGGCATTCTTGTATTGGCCATCAAGAAACCAAGTCATGTTGCATTTCAAAGAAAATTGTCTGCCATAGCATAGACACAGTGGAATTTTAAATGTCTATTAGTCTTGTCTAAACCTTAATAGGGCATCAAAGACTGCAGAAAAATTTTCTATGATTGTATTTTGTGAATGCATTTGATGTGCCTACTTACCGTATATCCTTAATATAAAAGCTGGATGCCAATAAACACCGGGGTAGCAATACAATTGGATTATAAATACATAAATGTAGCCCTCATGTAATTCCAATGCCTTGTGGATGCTTCCTTACGCTCCTGCATGAGGTCACTGGTGTGAAACCAGCTCATGGGCCCTAGTTTTTTTACTTTTTCGGGGTCCATGCAATACCATTCTAGATAATAGGCGCCCTGCTTTTATTTATTAAATTACAGTAGATACCATACATTCGACACAGTACTTAGTTAGAACTTTACACCTTGTGCTGTATTGTTATCTCAACTCCACCCCTTGTGTCTTTAGTTGCCATACAGCACTCTTTACTGGGATATACATGTATTGTAACTAATACTTATCATGTGCTCTTTATAATATTTACCATAAGTTCTGTAATTCTTTTATTTATATGTGTAGTAACCTGCTTCATAATCTTCTCGAAAACATTGGTCCATTTCCAATGGAACTTGATTGGAATCATCTTATTTTATTATCTAAGAACCACAATCATCAAATCAGGAATGTTAGTCACTTCATTTGTTTCACAGAACTCACTTAGATTTCATTCTCCCTTTTTTATATTCAAGCAATTGCATGTATATGACAATTTTTACTTTATAGGTTTCTTTAAAGTTTATAGCAACATCATTATCCAATGGTGTTACAATGCCACCGCAGATATTAGACTCACTGTGCTGGCTATTGCTTGACTTACTTAGTCATGGTCCTCGGTAAGTTTTGCTTTCAAGTAAGGCTTGAGCAAATGTTGGAACATTGGAATGTTCCTTCTTTAATAGGCCATTTGAATGCTTCAGCAGGCATTTAAATGAAATTTGTACATTTGTAAATGTGTCTCTGATGCACCTACTGATATAACTTTAAGTTCATATATCACTAACATGTATGATTTTACATTTTTGTATGCATTGTGTATCACTTTGGTAGAACCATGCACCAGCAATCTCTTAATAAATTCCAGTTGTAGTAATGTTTGTACAACTTTGTATACAAATTTTAAGCAACGTTTTCCTCTTTTTAATTTATAGTACTGACTACCTTCAGTCTTTGGTTTCTTGTTGTGATCTTGTTTTTGGTACTAGTGACCGAGAAATCTTGGCTCCATTGAGATTTTTTGACCAATTAGCTGTTGCTTTACTTCAACTTACTTATACTGGTATATACAAATCAAGTACCATAATTTTTCAGGTATGTTTTATCAGTTCTTGTGTTTTTGCACTTTTTTGTAATATTAATTTTTTTAGCCAGACTTATTAACTGAACAGTACACTTTAATTTTTAAATTTCATAGTACTTACATTTAGATTCAGCAGCTGACTTACTTTGTATTTACTGTTTTTATCTCATTTGCACATGCCATAGACCTTCACAAGCTGCTAGTGTCATGAATTTGTCAAAAAGCTATTTTTTAAATTCTTTTCACAAAAATTATGCTGTCTACCATAATATTATTGTATTGTAACACTTTTTTTATAAATTAAATGACAGATTTTGTATTTTATTATGTGTTACATTTATGTTAAATTGCAGAATATTAGTCAAATTTTATTGTATTTCTTTTCTAGCTGCTTTTGTTCAGAACTAATTTTTAAGCTTTAGCCTATTTGATTTTATAATCTTAAGTGATAGTATGTATATGCCTAGCAAAATTTGGCTTCTGCACAATCATCATGTTTGAAAGAGCATTTTTTTGCCTGACTACTTTAGGATTGTGTTGGTCACCTTTTGTATAACTGCTGGCTGGTTGGAGTGCTGTCATTATCAAAAATAAGATACTTGCTTCATTATATTACAGATACTAATTCTAATCTGAAGGTATAAGTAATTGAAATTAATTGTATCATAAAGAAATCATTGTCATCAATCATAAAGTGAATCATTATTTTTCTCATATTTGACTAGCCTTTTATTTTGCTATTGGAAAAAGCTTTGTTTAATGAATTAGCCGTAATAGTAAGTTGTTACCAATTGTGCTACATGTTTTAAAGTTTATTTCTAGTCTAAATGCAATGAATCATTGAAATTTCACAAGTAAATGCATTTCCATTGCTATATTTTCCTTTTCCTTTAAATCATTGTATTGTTTTGACTTTCATGTATTCATGTTTGGCAAAAAGCTAATTAGTACTATAAATTTTATATTATGATCCAGAATTTTTAGCTTGAGCCTACTATCATTATGTCAGTGTAGCTCTTGGTACTGGGTTTTAGTATTGTAGTACAATATACATGTACATGTATAGTATACTACCTAGTGCTTTGCTTTTGCATAATAGCTTTTGTAAGTTTGCCATGTTAGTATCATGTGCAATAAATGTTTCCTGACTTTAGAGTTATATTTTTGTACTTGCATGTTAATTTATTAGTTTCATTCCTATTAAGTTAATTGTAGTCTTTTGTGTTTATGAAACAATATTTCTTGTTAGCATTGAGCACCCACATCCTGCTTTTAAGAAGAAACTGAAAGGTTCAGCTCCTCAGTATGGACAAAAAAGGCAAAATGAGAGGTACAATTGTAACATTGTTGTTTTTTATAGTACCAGAAAAATATACCATTTTAAGTACTGGAAAAAGGGGTGATCATTTTCTGCTCACAAAAATAATTTTTTGCAAATTTCACTATTCTACCATTTTGTACTGTGTTAAATTATTCCAACAAATTCAATTTTTTAAATCTTAAAAATTTCACAAAATTTTCGAAATTAAAAATAAATGGATGAAGTATGCACTGTCTAGTACAGCCACTTAAACTTTAGGTATAAGACATCTTGTTTTTCTGCCCTTTTTTGAAGTTCAATAACTTTGAATGTAACATGATAGCATGCATCTATTTTTTTATCTTTCATGCACATCAGAAATTGTCTTATAATTTAGAAAATATTCAAATTCCTTGATAAAGCTGCTATGTCATATAATGTTTTCTTGTGGACAAAAATTGTCTCAGTCTATTGAATCTCAGGTACATTGTATTGGTAAATTATTTTATATATTATTGATATTACATTTAGTTTGCTTCATTGGCTAACTTAGAGACTCTTTCCTCTATTTTGAGACTTGTGGCTGGTTGCTCAGTGAAACATTATGAGGCGTTAAAATTTTGGCTTGAGAGGAATGAGTTTGCTGGTATGTTAGAATTATTGGACGCTGTTTCTGTAAAATTTATAAATTCTGATACTGAATATAAGGTATGTAGCTATATAATTTTTTGCTAAATTTATATGAACATTATTATTTTCATTCTTGTATTTCTAAAGTTACCATACGGGTATAAATTCTGTGGGGTATTTACTTTTTTGGATTTTGTGGTTGACTTCTTAATCACTAAAATTAATACCGTGGAAATGCTCACTGCGAATGTGCAGCATGTGAAAATCAATGACTTTCATGTAGTTCAAGTGCCCAGGCAAAGACGCAAAATTTAGGAATTAAGAGCTTTTTACTAAAACATGAAAATTTATACCCTCCAAATTTACTACCCCTATGGTATATTGAGTAAGTCTTTTTTAGGTTTTGAAGTTAGTTTACACCTGCTTGATTTCTATTGGCTGTTTAATGTCACAAAGTAAATGTTAATTAACTTTAATTTTGTGGCTATCAAGAGTACATAATACTTAAAGAGAGTATCCAGCAGCCCTATAGCAGGCTGATGCATGAGCATGTATTTACTCAAAGTCATAATCCGCATACTCCAGTATACTTACCATATCATGTGATCAAGCATGTGGCAACATTTTCTAGCCCTAAGCTTTAAAAAACTTGGAAATATCTTTCAATACATAAAGAAGACTGGAAAGATGAACGACAAAGGCAGCCCTGCTGGTATCCATGAGTTTGTGCCCAAAGCACTTGCCAATTTTTGACAATAGCAACTCAACTGTCTACAAGATAATAATATTCATTGACAAGTATACTGGAGTATGCGGATTGTGACTTTGAACAAATATGCCCTCATGCATCAGCCTGCTATAGGGCTGTTGGATACTCTCTTTAAGTATTCTGTACTCTTGTGGCTATTAGTAATAAAGTTATAGTCCTTACTATACACATGTTTGGGGAAGGGTACAAATGTTATTACTTATCAATAATGTATGTGAGTGTGTGATTTACTATGTACCGTAAATGTTCAAATAAAGGCCAGGCTTGAATAAACGCCTGGTACTAAGAATCTCCAAGTATAGATACGCATACCGTGTTTTACCGATTAAACGCCCGCACAGTTTACTACAACTGTAGCCTTTTTGTACGCACTGAAGGACAATTTATGCTCTTTTGGAAAAGTAACAATTAAGATGCCTTAACTGCCAGTTCACCCCTTCTCTATTTGTGAAATGAGTGCTGCCAAAGGCATATGAAATGGCAGGTTACAGGACTATAAGTTATGAGCTTTTTAACATCATGAAAAGGCATGTATGATGTATCCCGGTACTTTATAACGACTTCTCTAAGATAAAAACAACATATATACATGACTGTGTTAGTCTCAGTAAGTAGTCTTTTTATATGAGCCCCAACTATGCTTTTGACCTATTTTGTGAATGTTTTTCTCCTAATACTCTGGTTTCTTATGATTGTTATTGCCTTAATATTACAGTGTACATGTATGTTGATAATACTCTCTTAAATTTTGTGTTTGTACGTACATTTAGGTGACTTGTTTTTGGCTCAGAAAAATCAGTGTCTTTATATTCTCTCAAACTATTCCTCAAAAGTATTTTTAATATACTTTTTTAGCACCACTTATTATATAATTTTATGCCTCCTTTGAACTATGCACTTTAGGAAAGCATTATTCATCATAAACCATCTTATAATGGAGCTGATTTTCAGTGGATTACTGAAATTGAAGAAAGTAATTTGCTCTGTATCTTTCAAATGGTGTTATTATTATTTGTTTATAGTCAATTTGGATTTGGCTATTCATGCTTTATGTGCTCTACATTATGTTTGCAATGGTGACATTCTTTTGGAAGTTGTTAGGAAAGGAATGGTATATGTGGGTCTATGTCTGTTTGTCTGTCTGTGTCTGTCTGTCTGTCTGTCTGTGTGTTGGGACAAGCCTTATAGTGAGCTGCATGTCACCTAGAGGAGTACAATTCTTTTTAGATGCACTTTCTAAATTCAAAGTAGCTTTGAAGTTGCGTACAAGTATGTACTGTACACCAGTAAGTTTTGGAGAGAATTAAATTAGGCATTTTGATAGCCATTCGCAAAAATAAATTCCACCATTTTGAGCCATTATACACATGCGCAATGGCACTTGGCCACTAATTTACCAAAGTAAAATTTGCCAATTACCAAAATTTTGGAATTCACCAAATTTAACTGCATCTGAAATTTTTCACTATACAGTAGTTACCACATTTTTTAAATTGCTTAAGATGTACAGAATATGTTTTACATATACAATCTAGGTTAGATGTTTGCTTATGGCTAAAATATGCTTTGTCCTTAAATGTTCCACTGTATAGGGATTTGTTTTCAAAGTGAAGTGTATTTGTAGATTTTACATTATAGTCTATTGTGAAATTCTGTATCCTTGTTGCCTTGTGGTGCACTGCTTGAGATGTACAATGTACATATGCACTTACATGTATTTTGTTATAATGTGGACATACATGTAAGTGCAGCAGCATTTTTGCAGTTTCCAAGATATTTCTAATCACGATAAAAATTAGTATATGGTATGTGTTATTCTATTCCTTTCAGTAAGAGGTAACAAGACTTTTTAACGACCTGGGGGCATAGCCCCCAGGTCGTTCCTATAATTGATTTCACTGTTGCGCTATCTATATATATATATATATTTACTTGTATGTCCACACTTACATTTCTTCTATACACGTTGTATTGGAGAAATAACAAGCCTTAGCAACCACCCGCCCATGCTCCTTTACGTGATTGGGTGTGGCCACGGCAAACAAAATGGCGGCTTACACATGGGACAAAGTTAAGAACTTTCTAACAGCAAGAGAACATAGAGATACTGTCTAAAGACTTCTCTAGAAGCATTAGAAGGTACAGAGAACCTCTATAAGTCTTAATAATGACCAAGTTGTACTTGCAAGGTGGTGAAATCAATTATAGGAATATTTTTTACCCTGTTACGCTTGTTTCAGTGATATTTAATAGGGCTGAAATGAATAGTACTTTTTACTATTCAAATAATTGGCATGCTAAACAAACAAATTTTTGAATGATTCAACTGTTTTTTTTGAATGATTATGAACTACCTTTTTGCTGTTAATCTTTTCAAGATGATGCCAAACTAGACTTTTTAGAGATTCTGACCCTCTTTCTCTGGCCACAGCATCAGTACTTAGTGAGCTGGTAAGTAAAAAGACCAAGAAACAGACTGAGAAAGCAGCCTGTGCAGGTGACACGTCCCAGGCATAGCCATTAAGGATTGCAATAACTATTAATAATTTTATGATGTGAATAGTTTGAATAGCAAAAAACTATTTGAATATTGCTATAACAAGTGAATATTTAAATACCTCACTATTCGTTTTAGTCCTACTATTTAATAAGATATTTTTGAATTTTTAGTTTTTTATTAGGTTACTGGAGTTCTAGCTTTGAAAGTTGAACTTATTCGAATATTGCCCTTAGTTATGTATGAGTTGGACTCCAATGAGGCTATTTTGTTTTTAAATGAATTAGTGAAGTGAGTACTATAATGCACTGCATGTATGTAGCTAAAGATTCTTTACCCTGTAATGTACAAACTCTTTTACTTAAAAAAAATTTTTTGTAGTGATGCTGCAAGCTATAGCTGGACAGAGTCAATGCTCTTGCAGTTATCAAAACATGCTCTACTGTTATGTTACATTGTAACTGGAGTTAAAATAACACGGTTAGCCTTTCATTTGTAAAGTAAATATTGATTTTCATAACAGTTCGTTGGAGTGGAGGCTGTCACAAGAAACATTTTTTATTGATAACAGTGACTATCAGCATATTGTTGAAGCTAATGCTCCAATCAGTAAGCTTTTATTTACCATGTATGTTGATGTGCATGTACATTGTGTATGTAAAGATAATGAGCTATTGTAAGTATATTCATTTTAAAGTTTGTCCTTTTGTATTTGAGAGCTGGATGTCAAAGTGTCACATTATAATGAAAATGTAATAAAATTGTATTTTTGGAGCATATCTACATGTATCTATGTTATTAACAGATATGTTATGTACTATGTCAGTGTGTCATGCATACATCTGGATACATGTATTTTGTGACTGGACCTTGTAAAACTTTCAAAATAATAAATATATTCATAATGTACTGAAATTTTTCCTCAAGTCTAGGCATTATCTAAATCTAACTATTCCATTCTTTTTAGATAATGAACTCTTGTCGTCAACTTACTGCAAAATTTTGAACTTTATAATATTAAATGAGGAAAAGTCAAAGCACATTTTGATATGTAAGTGTATTTATAATGTCTTTTTTGGTGGGACTTCGTGTCTGTTAATAATTTTTGACAGACACTTTTAACTTTTCTTTTTCAATTAAATCATAAATTCAATTTTTTATTCTTATTATTATTTTTATATTTTCTATTAGCAACACTTGAAAGCTCCATTAAGATTTGTTCATTTATTAGTAAGTGTTATAAACAAAATGTACTTTACATTTGTGTACAGTAGTTTTAATATTATTGTGTATTTAATAGATCAGGATGCTTTATTTCCTTTGCTTTCCTTAATGGATCATGAAGATATTGAAGTTGTATCCTCATTTGGGTCAGTTATCTATTTTTGTGGATTCACTTCTATGTATTTGGGCTAGCCTTATACATGTATTTTTAATTTTGGTAGTTATGAAATTTAGGTTGTTTCGTTCAAATGATTTTGACATTGTTTGTGCTAATTTTAATAATCCTATTAATTTAATTATAACCAGGGACCGGAGAGATGAACGTCCTTTTAAGTTACATTAGGCAGCATATTATAACTTATGAAATGCTATGCATTGTGCTTGAAAAGTATGATTACCATTTTTGTCATTAATTTTAACAGACACAGTCTTGTACTGTGTTTAATTACTATTTATATAGTTGTAACATTTTCAAATAATTTTAATTTTATATTTGCTCTGGTTTACAAAATTTTTAAAGCTCTGACTCAACAATTTTCAAATTATAGTGTTTTCATTAATAGGAAGCATTCTGCAATTTTGTTTAATTTATGGGGCTCCTACGAAGGTGATATATCTAACCATCCGTTTTTGCGTAAATTAACACTATTAGCTTTATCCTGTCACACAAAGTTTGTAAGTGTTGTCATTGAATGATGCATTTTGTGATTTTTTCAGACGAAGTAAAGTATCTATTGATATTTTGGGCTGCTTAGGAAGGTAGCTATTCTTCCTATTGTAGTACTTGCTATCCATTTTACAGATTCAAGAACAATAACGTTTTTAGACATTGTGTCATTCTACTTCTAGAAATGTTACTTCGTGGTAGTATTGTGATTAAAGCTGCAGCTTTTAATGAGGTTTTGTGCTTATTGATTTTATTTATACCGATAATTTTTTAGATAAAAGAGCTCTGTAGATTTCATAGGCTTGCTTCTGGGAAGCTACCATTGCCTTTGAAACATCAAATTTGTGAAGTACATATACATTTGTCTTTGCTTAATGTATTGCTGTTATTTTTACCAATTAATAGCTTTTAGTGGAAATTCTAAATGAAAAACCATTTATGATTCTTTGTTCAAATTTGAAAAAAAACTTTTGTGCTGAGGTACATATTATACATGTAAATTTAACTAATTTTTTTATTTTTGTTTAACAGATTTCAAATGTATTTGGTTATAAAACAGTTGAAGAATTTCTTCAGTCAATACATGATCCATTTATATCACTACTTGTTGCTGAAGGATCTAATCATGTATTGCAATGTCTAACTTTTATTGCAGAAAAATTTAACAAAGTAAATTGTAATTAAAGTTTACTACATATTATATTTTAACAGCATATTTTACCATTGCTGCTCATATAGTGTATTCAGTGTTTTTAGAATTTTGGATGAGCAAAAGTGAACCTCACTAAGGCAAGAAAGCATCTGTTTTTACCGGTCATCTAACTGTTATTAAAGTTAAATCATGTAACTACTGCTCACGTGCGCACTAGCCAATAATAAGGTTATTCTTTTCATTGATTTGGGTGTGGTTGCAATGATATAAAATGGCAAATATGAAGGCTACTGATGAAACCAACAATGTCTTGAGCTTACTTACAACAACAAGATAAGACTCAATTGTTACCCAGACAATTCTCAAAGCAGCAAGAAAGTTTAGAAAGCAGCTATAAAATCTTTTTGAATCTCAGAATAAAAGCTTAAATCCATTAGGCTCATCATGTCAGTCAAAAAGAAGATTTTCTAAGCTACCAGTGAGACAGTAACTGCTCTAGCTATCTTTCTTGCTATAAGCAATTAATAACTGCAGTGATTCTTAACTCATAGTTAGAACAAACTATAAAATTTCCGTAAATAGAAGTTTTCCAACAGTGTATTGACGTCAACATTTAGTCTTAAGCTATATGACTACATCAATGTTTAAACATTGTAATACTAATCAAAATTAATCGTTTTGCTCACTCTTAATGTTTTACATTGGCCTAGTTAGTTTTCTTTTGTGCACCATAATTTTACTGACATTACATATGCACATAAAAGTTGGTTAAAATATTCTGCTTGACTAAAGCTGTTTTACAGTCTTGATCTTCTTGAGAGTTACATTGTAGACCATAGAATTGACTTTGTGCATTAGAAATTTTGTAATAATAATATCATTCATTTAGATTTGTAAAAAAATTTTGATTTGCTGCTAAATGTACCTTATCTCATGTTTGTAGTGCATGATATAGTTCACCAAAGAAATCATAAAGGCCTTCCCCATACAAGGCAACCTGTTGCTAGCAACCAAGCAACATGAACAGCTCAACACATAGCAACTTGTTTCTAACAACTGAGCAGCATGTGACCAAAAATAGAGCATATTTCTATTTTTAGCAACATGTTGTACTGTTTTATTTTGTAATGTACAGTTATGCAGTATGCATCATTTAGTCTTGTTTGATATGACAACTTAGCTTTTCAAACTAAAGCCTGTCTTGCAGAAAGAGAGTTTACTAGATTTATAATGAAATGCATACATGTACTTTATTTTGACCTCCATCTCTTCCTTAGTACTTTCAAAATTTGCCCAATAATAATAATTAATTCTTTTTGTTTCGTGTCAACAATCGATTTTGTGTTATCATTTCTGACCAGTTTTTTTGTATTATTGACTTTGAAATTATTTTGTATTTTTAGACTATTGGAGAACTATTGGTTGCCAATTTTCACTACATATTTAGTAACTTAATTTGCAAATGTAGCGAAAGCAGACGATCACTATCATTACAGTTTCTTAAGGTAATAGATGTAAGCAATATCTCCAATTTTTACTGGTGAGACTTGTACTATAACTAGGGCTGGACAAAAGTTTCAAAGCTTTGTTCAAAGTGCTGCCTTTTGAAGAAGAAATTAAGCACACAAAGCTTTATTAGTATATTTATTAACAGTTATTATGGTCTAAAGCTTACTGGGGATGTATGAAAATTTTTTGATTTACATGTACAATGAATGTTCAAAGAATTTGATTTTTTTCCTTTGTCCCAAAATATCTGTTTTGTGTTTACACAACAGTGATACCTTCATTTGCTTTCCCTATTTCAAGCCTTAGCTTATATTATTTTTTTGTTTCTTCAATATTTTATGCTCCTAAGTTGTGAAAGTGTCATTTGCTCTTTATTTGTGTATGCTTTTACTACATTTTTAGACTATAATGCCTGACTTGGATATGGTTTTTGTTGTCCGTCGAAGCAAAATTTTAAACCAGTTATTGCTTCAGTTGTATTCTGCACCTAGTCAAGTGACTGTTGGAATAACTTTTTTAGCATCTGTCCAGAAATCACCATCAAGCATGTCACTTTCATCTGATGTTGAAATAGTTAGTACAATTTTATTCTTCAGTTATTGTTTTTCTTGTCTAGGCTGATCATTTAGAACCAAATTTTCTAAGTATTTTAAAGTTTTTTGATGCTAAGTTAGAGATAGCTTGTGAACATGAAGATCATGATTTAGGACTTATGGTAAAGACTGTTCTTTTATGAAATAAAGAAATAGAGCATTTTCTTTTATTTTTATTATCATTAATAATGCTCAACACTAACTGATTTTGTAATTTGATTTAAATAATTTACAGTGTAATAATAGTAGTTTTGGTAGTTTCTCATGTTATGACTAGTGACTATTGTGTCACACTTTTTGCCTTTCAGGCTATTTCAAGTTTGACATCGTTAATTGTAATAATGGGGAGTAAGTATATAACAAAGTTCCGAGTCAATGTGATGGCTTTACTTAGGTAAACTACTGTTAATTTTTGTATTTATTTCTTATTTTATAGGTTATGTCAAAAATTTAAGAACTTAGAAGTGTGCAAAAAAGCTTGTGAAGCCTGGGATTGTTTCATTCAGAGGTTTTATTTAATATTATGATTAAATCATTATTTTATGTAGTGTTTCTATTCCACTATTGGGTCCATTATTAAGTGAGATTGTTGTGGTCCTGACTCCTTGGGTTTCGCTTTTTTCTAACATCATTACTAAAATTTTTACGTACCTGTTTATCACAAATAAGTATGTTCATACAATATAGGAATTGTTTTTACGGACATTTTATTATTGATGTTTCTATTTTTAAAATGAGTGTCATTTTATGCCATTACTTATAGGGACAGCCTTTGTTCTTACTTTGATGAAGTATATGTGATACCTGATCACCCATTTTTGAAAGATATCAATTCTGTTATTAAGGATAGTATTATCTCTCATAATATGTGAGTTGTTTCATTTTTGATTTCATGTGATGTTTTCTAGGTCATGGGAGTGTGTTCTTGAATCGCATTTAAAGCATTTATTGAAAGGCATTAATCATCAAAGATCTGATGTACGGTCACATGCTGTGCAATCTTTACTATTGCATTTGAAAAAACATCAGGTATTTATTTCTTTTTTTGTTTTATAATGTTTTGGTAGACACAAATTCAGGAGCTAGTTATTAACAGAGATATTGTGCATCCAGCTATTGCTGATATTATAACCTCTGTAAGTTAATCTTATTGCATTTAGTTCTGTTTTATATTGTTTGATTTCTAGCTTGTTTGTAATTTAAAAGATGCTGATTCTAGCTTAAGGCTCAAATGTGGTGAATGTCTTGGAATACTTGGGGCAATTGATCCTGGAAGGTACTTCAATTGTGTCTGCTATTTTGTTGCATGTTTTACTGTAATCCATTAGAATTTCATACCAGACTGTCACTACTGTCAAAGCGATTGTTTATTTTGAGGTCAGGTAGTTTATTACTCTTTTTAATGTAAAGTTTAGACTGATATGTTGTCAGAAAAATTTTCAATTGAACTGATTGAGCACTTAAAACAAGTTTTTCTTGCTTCCCGTGATGCTCAAGAGCAAAATTGTTGTGCTTTTGCTATTCAAGAGGTACTATCAGTATTGAATTGTGCTAATGCTGATGCTGGAAAATCAAGGTACATGTAGTATGTAATACTTTGAAATAGATATAATTTATGTTAGTGATGGTACTCATATTTGGAACAAGCTTCCAGAGAATACACAGGAAATTTTTTCTCCTTACCTTCACTCAAAGTATCGTATGTGTAAAGGTAGATGTTAATTGGCAATACTTTTAGATATTCACCACGTTATCCGAAGTTGGAAAATTCTGCCGATTTTTTTAAGTTATCTCATTTCAAAAGTTATAAAGACTGGATACAGAAATGGGCAGTCACTCTAATTTATAGAGTAAGATTTTTTGGTATTGATTAGTACACTGTAGAAAAACTTCTGAGACCACAGTCAGTTGTTGAAGAGCTAATTTGTGATATAAGTCTAAAAAATTATAGTTTCGCTTTTGTACCAGTTTTTTCTGCTATTTTAAAAATTTCTTGTGTAATTTCTTCTAAATTAAAGAACTTTTTTAAACTACTGTTTGCTAATGAATAAGCTCTTGCTTGAAATTCTTGATTGCATAGGTAACATGCCTAATATCAGGAACTTCTGTGGCTTTAGAATTTTCACCCTATGACTTTCTTTTTCAGAGTATTTAATAAATGCAAGGATGAAAATTGAATGGTTTTAGCCAACAAGCATAATTTTACAAATTCTACACTTAAATTTTAAGCAGTAAATAAATTAGCTGGAAGGAAATCCTGATTAGAGCACTGGTACAGGTAGTATTTCTCGTAAAGAACTGTTAAAGTTTTTGAAATACGTTGAGACGATAAGGGAAAAAATTGTCACTTAAAAGAGTGGCCTACAAGAAAGGCTAGAGTATTGTAGAACTTTTTGTGTACTTAACTGTCCGAAGATGAACAATTGATGCTTCTTTTTATGATTTGTATGTTTTATATATCTTATAGTTGCATAAATCTATTGCAAAGCAGTTGTTTCTACCTTGCACCCTTATATTTAAGGTATTATTATATTCACTGTTGCCATGACAAGTTCACATATATATCCCTTGATTAGTACAACATTCGCCCTGCTGAGTTTCTTTTGCCCCACGTTTTACTTGCTGTTCTTTCCCAGAAAGATTTTGGAATTATTACAAAGGTACCTTCTAATTTTTTAGAGATATGTTTTACTGTATAGTACCTGACAGAAATAAGTATATTTTTGCGCATAGAATAATTTAATAGAATGCAATAATTTGCGAGCTTGCATCAATAGGCATACTGTTCTGTAATAGAATTAAAGAATTTTTTCTATTCATTAGCTAAACTTTATTCATTGTATTTCATTAGTATCATTTAAACTGTACATAGCAATATAATAGACTCTTGACAGCAACCTTGGCCTTCCAGATCATACTACAGTGCCTTCTCGTATTTTTGAATTCACCTACAGAGAAAATGAATCACAAGAATGGGTATCCACCTACTGCTGTGAATTATGTGTTTTGTCTTGCTCACTATCTTTGACTGTGCTTGGTCATCCAAGGATGTCATGTGATAAGATGAGATGAGAGACATTGTGCAAGATCATGAAAGACTACTCTTGTGTATGTGCACATGTTTTGCCTGTGCGCATTTCTTATGAAGTGTGCACTTCTCACTTTATATTGCCCAGATTTTGCAAGATTATTATCATGCATTATGTATAAAGAACATAAATTGTTTTTTGTCAGGTACTATATTACCTTCTTATGTTGCTGCTAAAAAGCTCAGGACTTAGTCCTGTTTGCACGCTCCTGTTTTGAGTCTTTTGTCCACACCTACTTCTCATATGAGTTGTAGGCTGCTAAGGCATATTTGATAGTGGTACTTAATTGTGATGTCATATTACAAACCATTTATTCATTACGTTAATTTTATCATTTATTGTTAGATTCAAAATGAGATATGTCATATCTTACAACACTGTGATAGTATACGGGACATTCCAAGAGATGTAGCTGGTATTTTATTTTACTCTTCGTTCACTTTTAATGTATTTTTCTTAATAGAAACTGTTTCCCTTTGTTCACAAACTGTATTTGCTTCTCTTGATTATCTTCAGACTTGGGTGCATAATAAAATGAAACTTCAGCCCACTGCTAAGTCTAAGCCAATGAAGTCTACAAATGAATCTGGTTACTTTTCAATGATTTTTGTGAATTTTATCGTACAATTATTGTGATAGGTTCTCAAAATATTTCCATTGTCGAGAATTTTCTAAAAAGCATACCAAAGGTTAGTAATAAATGTATTGCTTGTCACTTTATCTGTAATAGGATTTGTTGGCAAAAGCTGCCTTTCAGTGTCACGCTTATACTCGAGCTTTGATGTATTTTCAACAATTTCTGAAATCTTGTCCTTCTGATATAATTCAAAAAAATTTAAAATTTTTGCAAGTAAATTAGGCTTCATTTTGTGAAGTCATTTAAGTTTTCAGGAAATATTTGTTGGTTTAAACGATGTTGATGGTGTTAGTGGTGCTGCTGCTTTTCGCTCCTCACAGCCCACAATTCAAGAGCAAATATTACAGTATCAAAGCATTGGTGTGTTCCTTTAATTGTGTTTAATTGTGGATGTGACATTATAATTGTATAGGAAATTATAGAGATGCATTGCTATATTACCAGAAAGCCATTAGAGAAAATCCTGGAGTCAAGTACTATGAAGTAAAGCCATTTGATTATTTGTCATTTGTTGTGTCAAATATTTAAAAGCATGCATGACTGGATTTTTTTGATGCATACACATGTACTGGACATTGAAGTAGAAAGTAGAACTAAGTTTTATTACATAGCATCATATTTTTACCTTAAAGGGTAAGTTCAATGCATTTTTGAGGTATTTTTTATTGGCTTAATATGATTGCCTGACCATACAAATGATGTGTTCCAACTCCCATTGTCTAAACAAAATTATTCACTGAGATATGATCCTTCAAGAATGCCCATTTTTCCTTCCTGCCAGTTTACTTTCTGTTGGTAGGTGTGGCTAAACACGACGTCACAAGAGGCATAGCTGCAGCTAAATCCATTCCTTTATAGGGGAACTAATCTTTTATTCTCATGCCTAG